AGGTGTTTATGTTAAATAATTAATCTGTCTTCCATAAAGCATCGGTGCTATTCTTTACATCAATTAGTTAATACCTAAACTTTGTTACCTCAGGACTGCAAATAGCTCTAAGTACAGATCATTTAGGAATCCTGTTTGTTGAGATTGTGTTTTAGCAATGGATTAAATAAGTATTTGTACATAATCAAGCTGTAAAATCATGTTTTGCAGATTTTTGAAATGTTTTTGTTTTACCTGGAAGCACATAGTAGAAAGGTAGGACAAGACTAAAGATTCTGCTGGCAGCTGGGCATCAAACTTCAGTGGCCAGTCCTTTTCACAGTGTGTATCTTTGGAATTTGCAAATTTTAGACAATAGCATTCAAAATAAGTACAAACTGGAAAAAACTGTGCTGTGAAATTCTGATGTACTGGGCTTCTTACTGATCTACTTATGAGTGAAACAGAAATGAGTATTGCGTAAATATGTCAGGTTGGTTCAACTTCAGTTGTAATCTAGCAGTTCACCGCAACAGATAATGTATCTTCTGAGTCATAGTTTATGTATTGTGACAATTAACAAAATTCATGACTCATTAAGATTTACTTGAGACTTCAAGACTTTTATTTCTCTTTGAACTGTGTAACTGTTGACAGTCTGCAATGACTACCATCATTTTTCATCTCCACCTTTCTATATTGATCGTATAAAACTTGGAAGCTGCATATATTCCCAGGCTCTTTTACAAAAGTATAGAATTGAAATGCAAGTTTTCAAATATATAGTGCTATTTCAAAGAAGGGACTAATCTGAAGCAATGGGCTTGAATAGCATCCCTCTGAAACATTTTCTAACAGTGGGAATGTAAAGCCTGGGGTAGTTGTGGAGTCTTCATCGCTGGAAGCACTTAAGAACAGGGTGGAGAAGGCTTTGTGAAGAGTGCCACTATTGATCTTGTATTGGGACGAGATGGATGAGATGTTTTTTGAAGTCCTTACTCGTCATCTTTTATATAATTCGGTTTCTTACGACCATAAATGTATAAGAAACATTGTAAAACACTTAGCATACCATTTCAGAGGGTGTAGGTGTTTTTCACTTATTTTTAGAACTTGACCTTACAAGACTGAAAAATAACTTTTTCCTTCTGACTTTAGTCCTTCACTTGGCAAAGATTAGTTAAAAACAGAGAGATGGAAAATATTTAAACTTTAAACTACTATGAGCTTTTCTTTTTGTTGTTTGTTTGTGTGCTGGTTTCATTTGTGATGTCAACTCCAGTCAGGGAAAAAGGTGTAACTAACCTGGCACTGCACAGAGTGCAAAAACACTTTTACACTGAAGCCCAAATAAACACTATCCACTGTTCACTTTTTCTTTTTTTTAATCAGTAATGCTTAAAAAATGATATTGACAAATCTGGAAGATGTTTCCCCATCAGATAATAACATGTTCAGATATATCAGCTACTTTTTAATTTGTCCTTTTGAAAGAGACACAGGCACCCAGAAATAACCAAGTCATGACCAAACACCCTCTGATCTGCTACTGTGTGTTTAAGCTGCGTTAGAGTAGTGATTTACAGGGATTTCTTGCCCTCAGATCTGAATATAGAAAGGTATGAAATGAGTCCAAGGAAAATAAAGGTAGGAATGACCTCACCCTGTGGAGACACCATGTCTTGCTCAACCTAAGAAAGCTCTATAGACACTAGCTATGTTTTAATTTGTACAGTGATTTTCTTACCGTAAATGAATGGAAATGATCCCAGGAACTGTTGCAGACTGAAGAGACATGGCTTCAGGTTTCTAGAAGAATGTAAAGACATATCAATTGCTTCCTTAATATGCAGAAGATTTACTTGTTCAAATATTTAAAATTGGTGTAATGCAGATTTAATATGCTTTCGTTCATTTGATTTAGAATAAGTGAGCAATAATAAGCACTATTCTGTCACCACGCTGTTCTATACCAGTTGTTGCTGAGGGAAATGAACATCATTTCTCATCAGTAAACAGTCCTGACTTTACTGAGTTTGAGAACTTTCATCATCTAAGTACATACTCACAGTTTTCCTCTTGTGCTGTAACACCTCAGCTAACTGCAAAGTTACTTAGAACTCTGTGCTCCTCGTGAGCCAGTTCAGTATAGTCTCCAGTCACTAATAAATTCATTATTAGTGACTCTCTTGCAGAGGAGAACAGACAGTGATGTACTTGCAGATTGTCCCCTTTGCAGATTGTCCTCTTCCCTGTGAAGAGATCCAGGTTTGCTGCTGGTAGCCCTGAATGTTTTAAGTACTTTGGTGACTTGTCCATACAAGGTATTCTTCAGAAAAGAGGGGTTCACTCTTTTCCTTTTGTCCTTTGCAGTGACTCCATGAGTCTGGGAGAATTCTTCTTTTTAATGTCAATTATTTGAGTTTCTTCAGTCCATAGTAAAAACAAAGAAAATTATCTAACCTCTATAATACGGTTTTGATGAGTTCATTTGGATGTTAAGTAACAGGCATATTAGAAAATATAATGAATGATATATACAAGTTGATCACCAGTGTATAGTATTATAAAAGGGCATGTGATTCTGGGCAGCTGCAAGTGTTCAGAAAAATGCTGAACTCTGCACAGAGGAAGCAGGACCCTTGATAGCCATCAACAACTCTTCCTAGATACAAATACCGCTCCTGTGCTGGCTGCGGGTCACATTGTTTTACAAGCCAATTTCACATGGTCTCAGAAATGGTTGCTTTCAGTCAGCCTATTGTCTCTTCTCAAAACCTGGAGGGGGGGGGGGGGTTGGTGCCTGAAAACTTAGAAACAGAGAAGCTGGATACTAGACTTTCAAGCAACTTTTTAATTAGGTGTCTGACTTTAAGGTGGGGTTTTTTATGTGGGTTTGTTTGGTTTTATGTACTGATATAATTGAGTAATACTTTACTTAGCAGAAAACATCATTACTGCTCATACATATTTTATTTGCCTTGTATTGAATAGTTCCTTTTTTCATTTCTTTTTTTGTAGTACTAGGATTTTGATTGTCTCATCATTCTATATGGACATATATTTCTCCATACAAAGCAAATACGATGTCAGTTGTTTCTGAGGTGACCTCACAAGCGACCCTTGTCCATTCTTCATTCCATGTGAGTTACACTTCTTTCTTTCTGGAGTTTTATGACTTCTCCCCATTTGAAAAAAAAAAGCCCAGATTCTTTCTGAATAGTTGGCAAGAACCTTCCTTTATTAATCGGGCTTCTGTTGAAGTAATGTGCTTTTCCCTTAAAACTCTCCACTATCAGAACAGGTACTAATAGGCTTCCTTGCTTGCCATCTAGCAGGGTCCTGGACTGAGCAGTCTGTGCAGTCTGAATGTCTCTCTCACCTCTTGACAACAGCACCTTCAAATGTAAGCTGGACAGACATCAACTGTCACTGTTTCAGGTGAAAGACTTGGTCTCTGTGGGGTGGATGAGAGGGCATTTTTCATTCACTCCCCATTTGCTGCTATAAAATAAAAATTGTATATAATATTTCCCAGAACATCACTAGAAACACCAGTGTATTTTATCTTTACTTTAATAATCACTTGCCATGGTTTTGATTTGTCCAGAAGGACCTAGAAATGCTAAAACTTGGGAAACTGAGTTGTTCTGAGATCCAGCTAAACCACTTTTGCTTACCACAAGTATCAAACACTCAAAGCTGATTTACCTGTGGGTTGACAGCAAAAAGTCACTTGCTGTCTGTAACATGAGATGGCATGTGCACCAGACAAGCAGAATCATACAAATGCTGCCTAGGTAACACATGCAAATTAACTTTATTTTCAGTATAAATTTTCTTGGTGCAAGAAAGTGTAAAATCTGTCTGCTGCACCATTCCCGTAATATAAAACTAATAATATTTATTTGCTTACTTTAGTGATCATGCATGCTCCCCAGCGCCTGCAAGACTGCACCCAGTTATCTTCAAGAATTGTGCACAGCCACAGGGATGGGAAGTTTTTTCCTGAATACAGGAGGTCTGAGGTAAAAATGAGAAAAAAATCTTTTATATAAATATCCAAGGATCCTGCTGCTATAACACTTTAAAGACTGACCTACTGTTTCCTGGGGCTTTCCTGTCTGCGTCCTCAAGGGTGTTGTATGATCAACGTACTGACAGATTTCACAATCTAACAGTGAGAATGTGCGATCAAGGATTTCACTGGTCTTCAGACTAACCTTTTTTACAGGTCACGGTTTAACTTGCAATTTCCTTGATGTAGTAGCTTTAAGATTTTCTTTGGGCAGGTTTTCTTTGGCTGCTCTAGATGCATTTCTCAATCCGCTCTGTGTCTTCTGATGGAAAGTGCTGGATTGAGACTGACTGATGGAAAATGCTGGATTTAGACTCATTCCTTCACAGACAAGAAACAGCAAAGTCTACCTTCCTTTCATGCCGTCACTTCTGCACTGCATCCTTCCTTTAGACAAGCCTGGGTAGGGGGTAACAAGAACATCAGCCTCTAAGGGCTGGTACATTTGCCCGATCCCTCTCTCAAGTAGGATGTGATAGCTCCTCTTTGGAGTTGGAAGATGATTCAGTAATTCTACCCCAAGTGTGAGTGGTGAAACTGTCTTTTGGGAGTTTAAAGAGCCTTTTCTGAAACTCTAGTGAAGTCCAGATGTCTCGTAGCTTTTGTGATCTTGTGAGCAGTTTTAGAAGGAAAATCTGTGAGGGATAGGGCTATGAATCATCCATCTATCCTGTGTCCATGAAGAAGAAATAAAAACCCCAATCCAAAAGGAATCCATTTAATTCTGGAATTTTCTGACCTATTTTGGTGCAAGCTGGTCTAAAAAAAAAAAATTAAACTACTCTCCTGATGAGTTTCTCATATTGTTTACTTTTGTAACGTTCTCTGTGGACTAGCAGCCAGAAATGACGTCCACCCCTCGTCCAGCATCAGAGAATAAGAACTTCAGAGGAAGGAATGCAACTTCATAAATAGCAAACCGCAGACACTAATGGGGAGCAGAGGCAAACCTGCAGGTTAAAAATTTGTTGCAAGAGAAGCCCACACATCCACACTGCCTGGAGATTCAAAGATGAGTTCAGTTCTAGCATTTGTTTTTCTCCTCTGCCTCTCTTGTCCTTTTTCATCATGTCAGCAAAGAAGAGCAGGTAAGTAATTTTAATTATCTCTATATTTTCTGGACTTGTATGCTTTCTAGACTCCTATGAAAATTCTGTTTTGCAGAAGGGAACGAGGAAGAAAATAACATTTCAACTGCATCTTCTGACGCCTAAAAGCAATGTTTAGGAATTTTGTAGTTTCATATGAAACTTGAAGCTTAACTGTGTAAATATTCAGTCTTAGATTTTTCCCTAGTTCTCCTCCTGAGTAGTGAAGTTATTCCAGGGCAACTGGAAATTTTGTTGTGCTTTGTAATGACCTGCAAAAGACATTTTACATTAATCTCCATTTTGCATGTGATTTAAGTTAAAAAAATCAGATCATACAGCAAGTCCTGTAGCAGGATCCTTAGATATTCTCTCTGCTTGTGCACATAGAGCTCAGGGAAGCCTTGAATTCTAGGGACGTAGCCATGCTAAGTTCGTTACAAAACTTCCACCGTTGGGGAATGCTTAGCTCCATGAGGATCTGTGAGATCCAACAGACTCAGACTGTGTACCAGAGATTCAGGTGTGTGCTTACAGAGACAGAACGAGTTCATGGAGAAGGATGCATAGTAATGGAAATGTCTGCAAGTGCGGATTTTCTTTGGAAATAGCGCCTGAGTAGTTGAATCATTATTGTGAATTTGAATATTAAAAAAAACCCCAAACTTTTATTTTAAATTGCATCTTGCTACTGGGGATGGAAAATTCTTCCCAGGAATAAGGGAAGCTGCCTGAAGCCTTCATGCAGAGCTTATTCAAAACCTCTGTTTGAAGTTAGAAATTATATGTAAGCTTGTTTCAATAAAATAAGAAACATCACTTTAATTCAGTCTTTCTGTCTTAGAATGACACATTTTTGGTACTTTCAATTGAGTTCCCAAACCAAAATGTAGTGGAGAGGTTACAAATATTCATAAAGTCCTCTTGGTTCTGTGTGGGGAAGACCCTTGAGGCTTTCAGGCTCATTTGTCACATGAGAATGCCGAAGTTGCACTGTCAGTAGCACAGGCTCCCATCCTGCCTTTGGCACTGGTAAATTCTTCATTCTCAAGGAGGCAGACCCCTAACTCCAGCTGATTTTCCCCTGAACACACAGCGCTGTTCGTAGAAGATACTGCTACTTCTTTCTTCAGAAGGCTTTGCTTACACTGTAAACAAGGTGTGACTTCTGTTAGAGGATTGATTAATCTAGAAAAAACTAGAGAAATGATGTTGTACTTTCTCATGGCAGACAAGAGAATACCAGAGCTGAATTTTGTGTCCAATTGTTTTTAAATGGTTCAGGTTTTCTTAAAACTTACATAATTCTAGAAACAATGAGCTACTTCCATTCATTCTTCTTGAGCAAAGCTGGAGTATAAACTAGATTTTAGCATGTCTCAAAGGACTAGGCAAGTCTAGAATCTAGCAGATGGGAGGGAAAAGTCACGGTAATCTGCCCTAGATGACCTTATAGGATGATTTATATCCTCTGTTCAGCATAGCTTAAACAGGATTTTGCCATGTTGCAAGGGTGAGTGGATGTATCCTTTGTGCCCCAAAGCCACTACATGGCAATTTAAAATTGCCGCTACCCAAAAAGAACCCATCTCCAGCAAGAAAAAAGTCTGTACCTTGAGAACAGGCGAGGCAACGGCTGATGTGCCAGTTCTCCACGTTCAGTGCTTGGCAGCACGTTTGGGATAGACTCAGCAAAGAGCCTTACTTTAGCGGTGCCCTTCATAGCAGCTTCCACAGCACTGAATTATTAATTTGCTTCTTTTGGCAGCAAAGCCTTCCTATGTGTGAACTGCGGACACCATGCCAGATTAACAGCTACCACAACTGCCAGACTGCCAGGCCAATTTGCTGAGGGGTAACTGTTACCTACCTGACAGGCATGGCTGATGATTAGCACTGTCTGCCCTGACCGGGGCAAATTCTACCCCATGTGCAAGTCTCCATTACTTCCAGCAAACTTCTAGTTAGGAACTGGGGAAGACTGGTGTGGAGGAATCTGTATCTTTAATATTAAGCTGAAGTTAATACTATCGGTTGGGTTTGTACTACTAATGGGTCTTCTGTGTTTTCCCAACTGCTTTGGGTTTTTTAGGAGGTGAAGTTGGGCCAGAAATGCTGGAAGAGATGAGAGAAACTAACCGTGTGCTAATGGAAGTTCGAGACTTGTTGAAACAGCAGGTAAGTGAGAAAAGCACCTAATTCTTTATATGCTGCACAAGAGAGATCTCTGAAACCTCTGCCTTATGTGCTGAGTTCTGGAATTGGGGGAGACTTCTTTTGCATTAGGTGAAATGAGTAATAGAATTATTGCTCTGGAAGCCAAATCAAGCAGTGGTCTCACAATTAGATCTGTAATTCTGAGATAAAGTGGATTTATTTGAATTCCAAATTTTGCTGCTTAGAACCATGTCTGCTGAAAAACAGCATACATGGAGAATGAGCTTTTAAAAGACACGCACACACAGTGGATATATATTTAACTGGAAAAACAAGTCACTTTTTCCTTGGTTTTGTGGGCTCATGAAATCAGTAGAGAGTCCAAACTTGGAAGATGGAAGAGACCTTTCAGCCATCTATTAGGGTCCTGGAAATGGAAGTCTAAACAAGCTCTGTTTTTTTCCCCTTGTTTTAATCCTAAGCCTTTCTGGCTCCAGTTGTTTCTTAGGGAATTTGGAACTTCTTGGGTGCTTAGATCTTGTCCCATTTTAATGAGGAGATGGTGGTTTGTCTGGTCAACTCTCTTTTAAGTATAGAAAAAGGTTCCATTCTCCCTTTATCCACTCTGGGAGCTGAGGGCAGCAGCCTCTGCCTGCCAGATAATTGGAATGGCAGACAGGTCTCTGTGCCAGTGCAAACTGGGCGGCCTCTAATCTGCAAAAACATCTGTTGCATTGAGTTACTCTCACATTTCAGGCTGCTGCATAAATACCCAGTGTTTACTAGGAATCAGGTCAGACATGGTTTCTGGCAGCCTGGAGCAATGATTTCCAGTGTTCCCTTCCAGCTTAGCACTGCTTCTCTATACAGGTTTTCTATTTGTTCTTTCTCTCGCTCTTGCTACCTACTTTTTTTTTTTTTTTTTATCCATGGCCTTTTTCTGAACAGCACTTTCAAGAAAACTCTTCCTCAGAAGACAAGCTTGCATATACCACTGGAGAGCCAAGGTGGCAGTTCATAATTTCTTCATCTGTGCAAAGATTTTCTAAAACCTAATTTTCCTTGATTCAGCATCTTGGGATGTTGGCAATAAAGATGGCAAAAGACATAACAAAAAAAGGCCAGATCTACTCTCCTGAGCCAAAGGCTGAAGGATTCTTGGCTGAAAGAAACCATTGGTATTCAGTTGCAGTGCTCCAAATTCTCTGTTCTGCTCTCTGTCACCCACTTCTAATGGGAGATATTCTGGGGATTTGGGTTAGATCTAGCTCTGCATTAACTATTCAACATGTTGGAGGGAAGAGAGACTCTAACATTGAATGAAAGCTTACTCTTATACCTGGGAGCTGGCAGAGAGACATGAGTAGAAGCTTTTGTCAAAGTACAAAGTGAAATGACTCAATGGTGGAAACATGAAGTCCACGGGGTGTGGAAGGGTGGTCCTGAGCATCAGTTGTAGATAGCCCATTGCAGGAAAGAGGTTTGCTAGGATTGCTATCTAAGATGCTAGAGAGTCATATAAATGTTAGCTTGAGACTGACATGCTTATCTGTGCCTGTCCCATATTCCTTCTCCAGCAAAGGGACGGCATCTTTGCACTGCCAATGCTACAGATTACCTCTTTACTGAAGCAAGCTTGAAGGAACAGGAGCCTAGGGGAGATCAGAGGGAGTCTGGAGGGAGGAGTTTCGTGAATAGATTCTAAATATCCTCATGGCAAGGGCATTAGGGCCAAAAATTGGCATAAGCAATGTCGGAGATTATTCATATATCTGCAAAAATGGCTCACAGGGGAACCTCCTCCTGACTTTACTTATGCCTGGACTGCAGATAAAGCAGACCTCTCTAGGACTGCTAGTTCAGCATCTTCTAGAGTAGAAGACCCAAATAAAGTAGATACCTCTTCATGGCACTTGTTTCGTGTATTCAAGTCAAGTGTTTCCTGCATCTGTGACAGCCTGTAGAAACACTACTGTAGGGAGTGACTTACAGCAGGGAATACAAGCCACCTCAGCTTCCAGAAAGTCTGCCACATAGATGTTGGGGTAAGAGTTAATTTGTTTGTAAGTAGCTATGCAGTCTCAGAGAGACACCCTGTTTTCTGGCAGTGGGGCTATTAGTTTGCGTGGGAGCACAACTCAGCCTTTGGCTAAATGGTGGTTCTTGTTTTCTCCTAGATTAAGGAGATAACATTCCTGAAGAATACAGTCATGGAGTGTGATGCCTGTGGTGAGTTACTGAGCTGAGTCCTATGTTCAACTGCCTCTTCCAAGTCCTTCATACCTTTGTGTCCAAAGAAGTAGTAAAATGCCATCTGTGACCATCTCCCCAAAGGAAATAGCTTGTTTCACAATTATTCTGAGTGTCACAAGGTAATACTCAATATTAGTGATGCTTTTTTTTCCTCCACAACATTCTGCATGCTTGGACCAGTGTTCCATGCTGTTCTCGTGGTTCAATGGCAGCTGAAGCTATTACCCCTCTCCTCAGCGTGGGGTGCAGAAGTAGCCTTAAAAACCTCATCTTTCCTTCCAGCAAAACCCTAGCATTCACCTACTTTCACTATTTCTGAAATAAGCTTTGTTAGTGGTTTTGTGAGATACCATGCTGTACTTCTCAGGGTAGCTGCATTCTAGTGCGGAAAGCTGCCCAACCACGTCTCCTAATAACCCAGCACATGGCCGATGTTAGAATTGCCTGGGAATGCATGCTGGGTATCCTGTGGGATATGGTTGGCTACTCCTGAGCTGCAACTGGAAGAGAACATCACCCCCAAGAGGCATTGCTCTGCTATTCCTTCCATCCTAGTGCTGCCACCATCCAAGCAAAGAGATTGTTTACAGAGGATTCAGGAAATAGGGTCATAAATTTTCCCATATAAACCTTGCCCTCTGCTCCCCAGTAAATGTTTTTTTCTAGACTGGAATTTACTTCCAGTATATCTGGCTTTCAGAAAGCATGGTTCTTGGAGATGCTTTATTATTTGCCAGTACACTCAAAGGGTGGAGCAATAACCATTTCTGCATTTGGAGAGATTGTACTTCTGCTGGAAAAGAGATTAGCCAAAGCTTTTGGGACCTGCAGTACAGAAATGCATTCATCCACAGAAATTGTTTAATAATTTGCTCATAAAACTGTCCTGAACTTTCTCTCTGTTACTTGATTTCTGCCTTCCCCACTTGCATTCTGCTTTATATGTGTTCTTCTCCTGTGCTCCTTACTGTAGAATTTCAGCATCTTTTAGTCATGCACTGAAAAACGTGACTCACAGCAGTCGTGTGCTTCTCATTATTTCTTAGAAAGAGAAGCACGAAGAGAGAAGGCCATGAAGGTTTTGCAGCTGGTGGTAGAGTGTTGGTTTTGGTTTGTTTTGTTTCAGGGTGTTTTTTTTTATGTTGGGCATTTAAGCAGGAGAAAGCAGGAGCAAAAAGTGTCCTGGCCACTTAGATTAGTGGGTGTGGGAGACTTGTGACAAATCTAGTGTCTGGGAAGGGTTATTCACAGTCTTGAATTGGCCTTCAGTGAAGTTCTGTGTCCCATACAGATTAATTTTGCAAGTTGTCTTGTGTTGTGTGTCAATTCATGAGGATAAGGACAAAACCCTGGCATTTGGCCTAAAACGTTAAGGGAAGCTGGTGTGCAGCAGTGTGGGCACAGGTTTGATGTGCACAGAGTGCTTCTGAATAGCACTGCAGTAGCATTTTATATGGGTTAGAATTTCTTACACATCACATGCTTCATGCTTAGATAGACCATATTGCTGTATTCCAGCCTAGAAATGATGAATGACCACATAACAGATTGATTTCTCATCTGCCATGCCAGTACGCAGTGAGGTTTCCTGGCTCTGTGGAGCTATCAGGTAGCATGTTTTGCATAACATCATGGCACAAGAGCCTTACTGAGCCTGATGTAAGTGTATTCCCGCTACAGACCAAGCTGGCCTGTTTAACATGCCTACCTTCTACAGCGGAGGTTTTGGCTGACAGCCCTCTACAATGCTTCCCAAATTTAAGCCTGTGCTATGTGAGGTGTCTTGAGTCCATACCATCAGTGAGGTGTAGTTGTAGAGGAACCAGGGGGAGAACTGATCTCAGTGGAACTCCAAAAGCAAGGGCATTACACCAACAAGGAGAGCAGCATGACAGGAGTTTTGGACTGGGAGCTAAGACTTGTGGGGTTTCTTATGGGGCTTTTTTTTGTCTGTTCTGGCTCAGAGATCTGTCAAGCTGCTGTTTCTGGCTTCATTTTTCTCCATTTACAAAATAGAGCTACAACTGCTCAACCCTCAGAAAGGATGCAAGGAAACCAAAGCACACTGCTATCTTCTGAGACGATGGGACCGCCTGATGATAGTCTGTGGCAGCGACAGCTCTGTTCTTAATGTTCCTCTTGTCCTCTAGGCATGCACACTGAGGCAACAGGCCCTGTCATCACCGTGACACAGTTTAACAGATGCCTCCCAAACTCCTGCTTCCCTGGCGTGGCCTGCACTGAGACTGGCACTGGCTTCCGCTGTGGACCCTGTCCCCCAGGCTATTCAGGCAATGGGTCTCATTGCACAGATATCAATGAGGTAAAAACCAAGCAGGACAGGCTGGAAGTTAGACAACTGGCTCGCTTTTCTTGGACTGTCGCGGGTTTGTCTTGTGGTTGTAAAGAAAAGTCTTGCAATTCCCCTAGGAGCTGAAGTTCAACAGAAACATAATTTCACTGGAAGAAGCCTGTATCTCACCCTCCCTTAAGCTCTGCTGCATGTTAGTTTTATATACAGTCTAGCTAGGCACTTCTTTCTAAAAGATACACAGGCTCTAACAAAATAAATCTTTGGGTTTGTACCACACAGGAAGGTGGGTTTGGAAGACAACAACAGTCCCTTCTGGTCTTACAATCTTTTGAGCTAATGGCTGATGAGTTGTTAGAGATAAGATTTATTATGTGTGGAACAGAATCAACTGCTACCCGAATAGTCCTTCATACGATAAATCTTACCACACTACTTGTATTGCTTTACTTCTGCCTTTAAATCAAACCTTGCTAGGCAGATACTGTTTAATTTGGGGTTTTTTAGAATGTGTGGCATTCCATCAAGTTTACTGTCTTGTGTGTATGCAAAGCTTTACTCAGCCATTAATGTTGTGTGTCCATAAGACTCCTTAGTTCTGTGGTTCCCAAACCGTAGTCCTGTACTTGCTGATTAGTCCACCGAGCACCTGTAAGTGGTTTACAAAGCCGTATCACCTCGATAGTGTTTCAGTTTAAAACCCTGCTGAAGTTGAAAGGGTCAATGAGAAATTTTAAGATTGATGATAACATATTAGCCACCAAAACGTGGGAATCACTGTATTAATGTAATGCATCTGCCAGTATAGAGCGTAAGAATTCAGAGAAAATAATAAAGTGTAGAGAAAACAAAGCAAGCACTAATAGCAACTTTGGAAAGACAATTGCTTCCCAGAGTAGTAAACAAACAACTGTTCTTGTCTTTCAAAACCAGTGTAAGAAATTATCCAGTTCTCTGGATTCAGAGACTGCCAGGAAGGAAAGTGTGAAGTGAAGCCAGCTCTTTGCCTGGGCAATTGATGTCACCTAAGAAGAATTAGTCCTGAAAGTTGATTTGTTTTACTTGTCTGCACATATTGGGACTGGGGAGAACAACTGAGATGGGGAAGCTACATTTTCCACTTGCAAGGGAAGCCAGGAACTTCTATGCATTTTTGGTTTATTCTTTAAAAATAAAAAGTACAATAGCTGGATCTCACCCAGCGAGGCCTGCTTTGAGAGCTGCCTTCACAGCTGGCCTCGAATGAGCAAGCCTGCCTCACAGTTCTGCATAACCTCTTTCTTGTTTACAGTGCAACGCAAACCCCTGCTTCCCAAAGGTCCAGTGCATTAACACCGTCCCTGGCTTTCGCTGTGATCCCTGCCCTCCCGGCTTCACTGGGCAAATGGTCGAAGGGGTTGGACTAGCTTATGCCAGGGCCAACAAACAGGTAAGGCCCAGAAACTTTTCTGTCTCCTTTCCCCTCAGTAATTGTAATTCAAAGGTCTTGGAACCCTCAAAGAAATGGGAGGGAAATATGAGATGACTGCATTGTATTGGTGGGAAGACTGATGCAGTGAGAGGAGAGATTTGCCAAGGATGTCCTAGCACATCAACAGCATAGCAACCTCCACTCCAAGACCTTACCTCTGCTGAATTTATGCTGGACAGAATGTTATGTCTCTGACACCTTTGTGCCTGTGAAGCCAGCCTGGGGAATCCTTCATACTAGGACACAGAAGAGTTGATGCAGCTACTGCCCCCCCTGCTTCCCTGACAGCTATAGACAGATTAAAGTTTAAAAAAAAACCCCACAGCACCTAGTCCTAGTATGGTTTATAAGATGCAGGAATGGCACGTGGTTTGTGTTATTTAGAGAGCTGCTAGGTGGTCACAGGACACAGTCTTTGACCTTCTTGCTCCATTGACTCTCTTCTATCCTTTTGCAGTAAGGAGATACTCTGACAGCTCAGCTCAGAGCTAAGCTATTTTGCCAGGCTAAAAGCTCTGGTGACGCTGTAGAGGGTGAACAGCTTGCCTGGGGTCAGGAGTGTTGCTGGGATCTGGCTCAAGCTTGTCTGAAGGAAAACTTTGAGCTGTGGGTCCTAGTAAGGTGTGTCAGGGGCTTTGTTTCTGCATCTAGCAATGCCCTAATTCTGTAATCTGATGTGGTATCTGCTTAAGAGTGAAGTTAATGTCTATTTTGCTCCTCCTGGGCAGGTTTGTACTGACATCAATGAATGTGAAACAGGTGCTGCCAGAAACTGTGTCCCAAACTCCATCTGCATCAATACACGGGTAAGTATTACTGGTAAGCCTCATGTGGATCTCTCTTCCCCAGGCTCTGGGGCCTCTGTTAGCCATGCCAGTCCAGCTGCTGAGGAAGGTTACAGCAGAAGTTTGCCAGGACTCATGTTGTAGTTAATCCCCTATTGCTTTTTCTTGCAGGGATCCTACAAATGCGGGTCTTGTAAACCTGGCTTTGTTGGGGATCAAGTCACTGGCTGCAAGAGCCAGACAGTGAGACGCTGCCCTAATGGTGAAATTAGTCCATGCCATGAGAAAGCACAGTGCATCGTCGAGCGCGACGGGTCCCTCTCCTGCGTGGTAAGGTCCAAACGTCCCTGCGACTGCAGTCTGCCTGCTTACTGTGGTTTCCCTTGCACTGCTTGCTCTCCTGGGTCTGCCACTGCCCTCTCCTGGAGAGCATGCCTTCCCGACACAGACCTGCTCTCCATTAACACCTCAGCTACAGCAGCATCTCTTTCAGTGCTCTCTGGAGAAGTGGACTGCTCCTGGCACCTCAGATCCACTGTTGGTTGTTTGGGGTTTTTTTTTGCCTGAAGCACTACAAATTTGTCAGTCATGGAACACTGCATGCAGCTGAGCAGGGAGAAGCACTGTTCAGCAACCAGCTGGAGCCAAAAAGTTTTGCTGCTGTATCTGTCTTTATAATGTCAGGAACAAGCAGAGAGCTTGTATCTGAGCTATTTAAAATACTATTTACAGCACAACTGTTTCTCCAGACAATATTTTTCCTGTAGAGTGTTGTGTACCTGGGTTTGCAATGTTTTGTGCTGGCTGTCATGTAAAGCCTTCAGTTTTGGAGGCATACAGCCATGGGGGGACTCACTGGCAGCCTCATTTTGTTTATCATCTGCTGTCTTCCAGTGCCTCGTGGGGTGGGCAGGGAACGGCTATGTCTGTGGGAAGGACACGGACATTGATGGAGTCCCTGATGAGAAGCAACGCTGCTCAGACAAAAAATGCCGCAAGGTAAGATATAGTTGTCTCATGTTTAACTGGAAACAGTACGTCAGAGGAATGCCTAACCGGAACTGGGCAATTCTGATCTGAGGGCAGGCCTTGGGTGCTGGTGAGACCCTGGCCAACCTTCAGAACTCAGACTGACACGCAGAGCTTGCTAACAGGCCCTTTGTTGCTTTCCTTTCAGGATAACTGCGTGACTGTCCCAAACTCTGGCCAGGAGGATGCAGACAGAGATGGAATTGGAGATGCTTGTGACGATGATGCTGATGGAGATGGGATATTAAATTCTGAGGTTTGAATTCTGATGCTCAAGCCTTGCCATACCTAAATGTACCCAGAGGTCCTGCAAAACAACTGCCTACACCTTTAGTGTGAATTTAGAGAACCTGCAGGTCACAGCATGCAATAGTTCTGTTTAATCTGGATGGTCTGAAGGACTCTAAAAACGAGCAGCCAGGAGGGAGCATCATGACACTGAAGGGCCTTTACAAGTCATGGTCCCCTGAGAGTTAGGGAGTCGCTCTCTCTCTCTCTCTCTCACTTGGTCAAGTGCCTTTTGGCAATATTTTCAGGTGCTACTGGTATTCCCTGAACAGGCAGTGACTAGGTGGAACAGAGGAAACCAAGACTGGCTGCAGACACGCTGCTGGGCTTCTCAGAGCAGCTGGTCACACACCTCAGAACTTTTGCTTTCCTTGCATGCTCAGTGCCAAACATTTCCCCTCAGCCAGTCCCTCTCTGCCACAGGACAACTGCATGTACACACGCAATGCAGACCAGCGCAATGCAGACAAGGATAACTTTGGTGATGCCTGTGACAACTGTCGCCAAGTGAAGAACAATGATCAACGGGACATTGATGGCGATGGGAAGGGTGATGAGTGTGATGATGACATGGATGGAGATGGTAAGAGCATCCTCAGAGAGGTGCAAATACACTGAGCTAAGAACCAGAAAGCTCTTCAGCACGCAGGTAGAGATCTTCATGGCACGTACCAGCCTTCAAAGGCTTGAGCTCTACAGGAGTAGAACTGATTTCTGATGAGCTGAAGCACAGCTCAGTAGTTAAGATGCAAAGATGAGCAGTCAAGCCAGCATCCTTCACAGTTCAGCTCTCGCAGGGTTTAAAGATCTATCTTCAGGATAGTGCTAACAATTTTTATTAACACTCTTGCTGTGCACAATCACACCAAACCTGTGTCAGACAAGACAGACAAACTGATCTCAGGCCAGACAAGGACACTACTTTGTGCTGCAGTTTAAACTTATGAAGAAGTATGGGAATATCCAAGTTGTTAGCAGCTGCTGGCTCAAGGCAGTATGTGTCAGTGCTGTCTTCTGGGGGAAAAAAAACCTGGCTGGCTTTAGAAACAGTCTGTGTGTTAATGGTGCTGTATATGCACAAAGCCTGCTTTCAAAAGCCAGAAATTGCAACTGCTGCTGGCCTGAGACATACTTATTTACAGAGTATTTCCAGTGCATCTAACGCTGTTTGGGTCTGGCTACATCCTGCCAAGTAGCTCCCTGCTGGCATGATTTGCTGGTGTAGTAGGTAAATACAGAGAAGTGGGAAGTGAAGTCATACAGGTTGCCAATTAGATTGTTCCTGTCCTGTCTCAGACCTTGAAAAGGCACTGTCTAAATCTTCCATGTCAAATAGCCAAGATTAACCTTGACTTATTTTATAATTGTATAGACGTCTACTTTAGAGGAAAAAGACTCTGTCATGGTTTAAGGAACCGCAGACAGCTTCGTCTTCATCCTCTTGGCCACTCACTCCTGCACAGATATGATGTCAGTTTGGAGACATGGTCTTCAGTTCTTTAGCTTTCTGTAAGGAATGTGGTTAAGGACATTTCCTCTCAGGTTCATGGGCAATAGCCGATGATGCAGTCTGGAATATGTTTTAAGATCTGTTGCTGCTGATCTTTTCCATCCTCTATAGCTGCTAGGATGTAACTTAAAAGTGTGCAAAATGTACACAAAAATTGAAATTGTTGCTTTACTACATGAATTCAGCTGTCCTAGGTTTTTTTGCCATCTCTACATCCAAAAGAGATCTTGCTGCATAGACCTTGATAGCCCTGTTGCCTTGATAGGTCTGCTTTGCATCTTTTACAGGGATCAAAAACCAAATGGACAACTGTAAGAGAGTTCCTAACCCTGATCAGAAAGATGGCGATGGTGATGGAGTAGGAGATGTGTGTGACAGCTGCCCAACAGTCAGTAACCCAGACCAGGTAAGTGAGCACTCCCAATTTTGCAGTCCTACGGGTTCATTTTTCTTACTCAAGACAGTGCTCGTGTCACCCGCCTAAGGTGCAAATACCTGGTAACTCACCAACACTACTGCTTGCAAATTTTAGCTGCCATCCTGCCTTACAAAAGTATAGCCCCTTGAGATCAAACGTCCTGGGGTACAGAAGAGTAAGTCAGAGAGGAAGCGTTGCACTCTGGACTTCTCTCTTCCCACCTTCATCTGTGTTTAGAAATAGCGCTGCTTGAATTCAGCAAGGCAACTTGCAAATACTTGCAGAAGGAACTCTCCCACCGTTGTCAGCTCTGGTTTCAATCAGAATGACCACAGCACTGAGGCTAACACCTCCCATTGTTTTCTCTATTGCCTAATTCTCCTGTTGGTCTATGCAAAGTTTAAATGGTTATCACTTTATTTTACTAGAAAGACACCGATCATGATCTAGTGGGAGATGTCTGTGACACCAACCAGGACAGGTGAGAGCTTGCTGCAAAAGTTATACTTAGGTTGCATGAAATCTTGGGGATGGAGGGGGAAAAAGGCAAGCATTGGCACCTCCCTGACAACCTGGCTTTGACTTACCCAATAAAAAGACATATTAAGGGAGGTGGAATTTTCTTCAAACCTCAAAAAAAACTTGCCAGCAGAAGCATATCCCAAAGGCTAGCGGATGGATGTACACTCACTGACAGCAGGCTTGCTCATCATTAGCTACCACTCACAGATTTGTTCATACACTACAGCTGGAATATTTTTGATCTACTGTTGGTGTAACTAATAGCTTAAGAATTTACAAAGATCACCAACTTCTGCTATTTTGTCAAGGATCCCAGCTCCTAGAAAGGCGTTGCGTGCATATTTTAAAAGCACATCAGTGGATAATCTTTACCTCCAATTTTCTCCATCAGTGATGGGGATGGCCACCAAGATACACGGGATAACTGCCCGTCAGTGCCCAACAGCTCCCAGGTGGACACAGACAATGATGGGCTGGGAGATGAATGTGACGATGACGACGATGATGATGGGATTCCAGATGAGAAACCTCCAGGCCCTGACAACTGTCGGCTTGTCCCTAACCCTGGCCAAGAAGACTCAGATGGTAAGGGAAATGGCTGCATCTTAGCTCTGCTTGGGGGTCTTCCACTCCTGGGCGCCAATGCCTGTCAGTTTGCCCTCTAGAGACAAACAGGAAACAAGATCGCCTCAGTACTGACTTGAGACAGTCTGACATCATTTTCAGATCTCCAGTAACGCTGACATCAGGATCTTATTTGGGAAAATTTCTCTTCCAGAAGTATCTACAATTTGAGGCGTTTCTTCTGTTCAGAGCATCTCTGCAAGCAGAAGCCTCAGGGTTTCTTTGCAGCTGACTTAAAGGAAGAGAATACCAGTGCTCTGAACACCTCTTAACTTTGCATAGATGTAGCTGCCTTAAATGGTGCTAGCCAAAAGCTGGGCAAGTAAACCTCAGGTGCAAGGGGTAGGAGAAATCGATGAAAGCTCGTTACTCCTTTTCTCCCTTCACACTCTCAGGTGATGGTGTGGGAAACCTTTGTGAAGATGACTTTGACAGAGACATGGTGATTGACAGAATTGATGTGTGCCCAGAGAACGCAGAAGTGACACTAACAGACTTCAGGGCTTTCCAGACGGTTGTATTGGACCCTGAGGGTGACGCACAGATTGACCCCAACTGGATTGTCCTCAACCAGGTAGGATGCTGCTCCTAGAAGGGGCTAGTGAGTCAGTGGGAACAGGCCTGTACCAAACTAGATGCAGTTTTCATTAAAAGACTTTGCAGGCTTAATGGTACTGTTTAACACTGTCCTAATCCTGGAGTCTCGCCCCCAGTGTACCTCTCCCCTGATCGCTTAACAACAGTAAAGTTAGTGCATTTGGAACTACTTTACTCATGAGGCAACATTCATCTTTCTCAGGGCATGGAAATTGTCCAGACCATGAACAGTGACCCTGGCCTGGCTGTAGGTGAGGCACTTTTTTTTTTGTCCTATTGGAAAATCACCACTCCTTAACTGCATACTTCTCAGTGCAGCTTTTACAAGTATTTCAGACACTACTTAATGATTCCATCCACCTCTTGGGAAAATATTTTCTGTAGTAGGCAGTGTCTTCAGATGTGGCTTAGCAAAATCCACTTACCCCACATGAATCCAGAAAGAAATGGATCTATGCTTTGTCTCAAAAATACAGATAATTGTTTTCCTACCCATTACAGGTTACACGGCATTCAATGGAGTGGACTTTGAGGGCACATTCCACGTCAACACTGTCACAGATGATGATTATGCTGGCTTCATATTTGGCTACCAGGACAGCTCCAGCTTTTACGTGGTCATGTGGAAGCAGATGGAACAGACATACTGGCAGGCAAACCCCTTCCGAGCAGTAGCAGAACCGGGAATTCAACTGAAGGTAAAACCGCCATTGAAAAAAGAGTTCAGTTGTGGATTTTTGCCTTTTTCTTAGCTGTGCTGCTGGGAGACATACCGTGGGGGCAAGCAGCTACGCTCAATCAGTCCTTTATCCACACATTTTACCAGTCTCTTCTCTGTCGTAGGCAGTGAAGTCTAAAACAGGCCCAGGTGAGTATCTCCGGAATTCTCTCTGGCACACCGGAGACACCACAGACCAGGTCAAACTGCTGTGGAAAGACCCTCGCAATTCTGGCTGGAAGGACAAGACATCTTACCGCTGGTTCCTGCAGCATCGGCCTCAAGTTGGGTACATCAGGTGAGGGGGTTACAATTTCCTTTGCACGGCTGAGTGGAAGTTTAACACATAAAAGCAGCATCTCTGTAGTAAAGAGGAGGGAGAGCGTCCGACACGGGAACAATTTCTACAAGGGTGTATCACTCTCACGTTCTTGTCCTACACACACTTATTTTTCTCCTAGAGCTCGCTTCTACGAAGGCCCTGAACTAGTAGCAGACACTGGAGTTGTCCTTGATACAACTATGCGAGGAGGACGCCTGGGAGTCTTCTGCTTCTCCCAAGAGAACATTATTTGGTCAAACCTGCGTTATCGCTGCAATGGTGAGTTAGTTTTGAAAGTCAAATACAGACATTTTTGCCATTTTGCTTTCAAGATGTTAATTTGTTCTTGGCTGGCCTACACGTACAGCTGTAATAGGATGTCATGCAGTAGCTTATTCTATTTTTTATTTCGGGTTCTACTTCTAATCTGTATTTGCTTTAATCTCATCCTCCTCAGACACCATTCCAGAAGACTATGAAACATTTAGAGTTCAGCAAGACTAACCTCCGCTTCAAACGTCTGTCCAGCCAAACTTGCTTTATAAAAACGTGCTCAGCTGCCCCACTATTGCTCTGGTATAAAGAACTGTAAGTAACGTACCACTGCACTCCGCACAGCACCGACTCTCAATGCATTATCTGGCATCTTTTCTACAACAGCAACTTTCTTTAAATGCTATTGGAACGGCAGAGGTGTAGACAGCGAGCGTGAACAGAAGCCTGTGCTGCTGTAAACACTAGTTCTCTACACTAGATGGAAAAGGACGTGCTGAGAAGCTACCTGCAGTAGCTGGAATTGTTCGAGTAAGTTTAGCATGGATGAGTCCCAGGAATCTCTTCCCTACTCAAAGGCTCTCAAGTGTGAATGTTGTTCTCCTTTTCAAGACCTACTGCAAAGCAAACCCAGCACTAGTCTGAAAAGGACAGAGAGCAGCCTATGTACAAGTTGCTCACAAAACATTTAAAAGAAAAAAAAAAAAGCACTTTAAGGAGAGTATCTTTGTTCTGGAATTTTGGATAATAAATACTTGGAATGTTGGATAATAAATACTAGACTTCTCCATGGTCTCGTGCATGTTGCTTTTTCCTCTTCTGAAACTTTTCCAATACAAATGTGTAACAGAGAAACCCTCAAAAGCTGAAAGCAATAGCACTGCTAGAGAGCCCTCAGCTGAATTCCTAATTTTGTTAGTGGTACAAATGCACAGGGCCAGTTTTTCATTCAAGAACCTTCCTCTAGTTAGACTGTCCTACCTGGTTCCTGTAAGCAGCAGTTCATTTTAGAACGATAAATGAAGGCTTTGAGCTTGATTTGTCTTATGACACCATGCCAGGACCCCCACGGACAGTCGGGGAACTGTGAAAACTGAAGCCGGCGGTATCAGAGGTGCTCACCTGAGCTGGGAACAGCGGCCACTCACAAAGGGCCTCCGTAGTCAGTAATCTGGAAAGTCTGAAACCCTGCACCCCTGTAATGCCCAGTCTTTCCCAGGTAAACGATAACCTAGCAGCATGCCAGTCTGCCTAAAGAGGCAATAAAAGCCAGATTTTGCAAGATGCTTCAGGTAAGCAGTTCACGTTAATTATACTGAAACTTGCTCGTGGTTTCAGGAGACTTGCTCATGGTTTCGTCAGAAAGGCAGTTCCTGGCGAATCCTGAGCAGTGCAGCTTTGCAAGCTAGTTTGGAGTTCCACTCCAGAATGAGGCCGTATGCTACAGACCATACACTGGATATGCTGCTTCTGTTCACCGTTACCAAACAAGCAAGGTGTGAACACAGCTTCCCCTCTCCTCCTGGAAAGCTGACGGCAAACGCTGCACTTTACCAAGCATGGGTCTCCACAACTACGCACATTTGAATTTCACGTTCCAGAGGCAACAGCATAAGCAGAGCTCTGCCAAGAGAACACTCGTTTTGCTAACGGGCATGTTTAGAGATGGTTCGTTTGCTGATCGCAGCACAGAGAGAACATCTCCATTCGCCATTCTATCTTTCCCCAACAGATGAGGTAGTCCCGAGTACAACAGCTACACAAAATGGCTTTATGTGGTGAAGGGACGTTATATAGCTTCTAAGAAACTGATTCCAGAGCGGATATGGCCAGAGACGGAGCATTCCCAAGCTGAGAGCAGAAATGAACCACCTTTCACTTTACGCTGGTCACCGAAAAGTCAGGTGCACTCACTTGGCCTTGCTGCGGACCCACTTAGCTATGCTTCCCCCAAAATATTCCAGCAGAAAGACAGCTTTCCCCCCAGCACCCCATCCCTCAGGTCAGAATACCAATTGCAGATGAAGCTTTCCCATAGACAAGTATAAAACTATCAGAAAAAAAAGAATGCCATTCAAAAGAGCAATGAAACAACTGCTCAAGCCGAGGGGGTTGGTCCTCCTGTCCCAGCTGCCTTCGTACCGTAAAACATTTTTCCTCCCTGGCTCCACTTACCTCGACGACCAACCTAATGTCAAGATTTACTGTGCCAAAAGCTCCACCCAGTTGTTGAAGCAAGCAGGTATGACAACCTCACCAGGCAAGTCCCGATATTTACACACTCATTTTCTCTTTCAAAACTCCAACAACTCAGACAGACAGACTCTCCTTACCCCGAAAGCCCCAGAGCTCTGCCGCAGTCCAGAAACAGGACGGAGGTTCTGACTGGAGAAAAGCAGAGACACGTCACCACACCATCACCAGGAGACCTCAGAGCTCAGGGGCTGCTTCTGGAGATGGTCTTCATTTCAAGATTCAGCACAATGCTTTGCATTTGAGATTAGTCTGCAGTTTCCTCTTGAAGAGTAAGAGTTCAGTTTTCATAGCTGTAAGAAGCCAGCTAGCCAAAATAATTTGATTTAGCTCTTTTTGTTTTTATAAACACGAGCGCTGAAAACACCAGTATTTCAACACAGAAAACCCTTGGTCGAAAAGCAAACAAACAAACGAAACTAAGAAAAAGCTAAGCAGCCAGAGACAAAAACATTTGAACTTTTATTACATTTCATTTACAAATAATGCAAAGATACAAAGACAAAAGCCTTCACACAAAAAAGAAAAGATCGAAAAGAATGTACATTGAGTTGAGCTGCTTTTTCACATCATTTCTCAGATTGCAAACACTTAAAGCCAACTTCAGTTTTCCACTTTACCTATAGAAAAACACAATAAATAAAACTTTTATGTCGCAGGGACAACTTTTCCAGAGTTCCTGTGCCACCAACGCTGTAGCTGAATATAGGATTGCATATATCAGTGAAATAATCCACAAATTAGTTTAATAGAAAAAGTTTAGCTTGTAAAGAACAGTGTATTATACTGTCTCTGAAAATGCATAAATCTGACATTTTTCCCCAAGCTCAATGAACTACGTAAAGTTGTTTTTAGCTGCCAGTCTGAGAGAGAAGCTGCCAAAAGCAGCTGTATTTAGTTTTATTAAAATCAAACTTTCCCTTCATGACTACTAATACTAATAACTTCCACCACTTCTACAAGGAATCCTTCCACAGGTGGGGGCTCCGTTAGGGTCAGAAGAAAAAGTATCTAAAAGTTCTAATTCCTCCCCAAAATCAAACCTCAATATCTACTGTCTTATTAGTTAACAGCTGACTGAAATACAACATTTTAATTACTACGCTGTACAATGCTGACTGAAGACCGGCGGACACGTATGTGGTACATTTATACACACAGTTACCTTCCGACTGTGTCGACGCTCATGCCATGAATATTCAGGATCCAGTAAGAACGTTTTGTTTAAGCAAGCCCTATACCCCCCCCAACATTTTGCCCCATAAATATTATAACTTTTATATTCACCATCTACCCTGCAAGAACGGAAGCTTTACCTATTTATCGTCTCGATCTTTAATTCTTAGAAATTCCCAACCTAAGCCGAGTTTCACCTTTTCCTTTCAAACAGAGACTCGTGACATGAGACATTAGCACGGGTATTGGAGAACCGCTCACTTTTCTGTCTGGACAAACAGCCAGAGCAGATTTTGTTGAATTAAAAAACAGCCCTTCGCATGGTATAATTCAACTCTGTTTCTATGAGCAAGTTTAAGCCTGTAGAATTTCTGAAGGAAATGCTGACAACTCCACTATTCCAGTTGCAGGAACCAGTTCTTAAATTAGATTTATAAATGGAGACCTTTCATCCCTTTTTTTCGACAACCACGGTATAGAAAAGCTGGATGGAAGAATGAATGAAATAGAAATGAACTTTACATTTCACTGCACAGATACAGCAGCTCCGAGGCCGAGTGAGACACGGCACGAGCAGAAGTCTCTCCTGAGAGCCCACAGCGCACGCGGCGCTCTCCCGGGACATCACCTCGTACTTTGCTCTTTAGAGGATCCCAGACAACCGCCTCCGCACCCAAAGCCCTGCCCTGCTTTCACCGATTTACTCGAGATTCACTACAAACATAAACCTCTTACCACCAGCTGAGGCCTCACCCAAGGCTTCCCTTCACCGTTAACTCAGTTCTGACAACTGAAGCTTATTGAGGGGAAAACTCCTATTGCACGCTGAAGAACCAAAAGGCGGATGAATCTGCACAGGTGTCACGCTAATCCTTAAAGATTTCGCAAAATTTGCATCTGGTAGACAATAACGCTCCTGGGGGAGAATACACATTTCCCTGTAACTCTGCATTTTCCTAGTTAAAAATCTCAACCGCATTTAAAAAACCTCTCGGCTTACTTGCAGCACAGGGCGCCCTTCGACAGACGTTAAACCTTTCTCTGCAGGAGGTTGTAACCATATTCACTACAGAAAACTGGAATGAATCAGAGCTTATAGCCTGGCAAATTTACATCCCAGCTATGTGCTGTCACGCAGCGGTTCCACCAGAGAACCAGAGACCAGCAGCCTCAACGCGCCGCAACACGGATCAATCCCGGCAGCATCTCCCAAGGAAAGCGGTAAACACCGGCTCCGGAGACATTTAACATACGTGAGCAGTTCTGCTCTTGCAGAAGGTTCAGCCCCCTGCAAATGACAAAAGCGAGATTTATTTATCGAAGGATTCTCTCATGTCTAAGGCAGCCCGGGAGATGAAATCAAGGTGCATTCGCATTGTTTAACTGTGCGTGTGTCCCTCGGCCTCTCGGGGTTTTGAAAACATTGAGCAGAAGAGTCAAATACCATCAGACAGCAACTGCCGTCTGCCAGCGTGTTCAACACCCACCGGTTCCCAGCGTAACGAGGCCCGCTTCGTTCTGACTCATCCACTGCACAAAACGAAGAAAAATACTATAAACCAAGAACTCGATCCAACGTAGATTAAAACCCAACGATTTTAAGACCGACAGAAGCCGTGCTAACGCAAAGACGCCTGGTCACTCAAAGCCAGGGCAGGGCTGCCTGAGCTCCCAGCCTTAACCCAGATTAAGTTCCCTCCTTGGGAAGTTTCTACCACACCGTTACCAGCACGCTAGTCCAAAGGTAGCTCAGGTCTTACTAAAACTGCAATTAAAGCAAACCTCAAGCTCAGGTTTACACT